CACCAGCAGCAATGGAAACTTTGCTTCACCTTCCAGGTACAAAAAGCAAAAGCAAGCAAAGCTTTCCTAGAAAATTCAAGCTAACAGAAATACTCTACATTTTCTACAAGCTGAAAATGAGGATTGTTCATCAGAGTAACCCAATTGCTTCTAAGGGTGAGGCCTTTATCCTTGACTTTCCCTCCCAACCTGAACACTGCCATCTCATAAGACTACATTGCAACTTCATTGCAGGCATATCTAATTATTATATTATAAGCACTATGCTATTATCCAAAAGGTTAACTGGCCAGACAGATATAAGCCATGATCAGTTTATTTTTTATGTAGGTAAGCAAATAAATAATAAATAAATTTTTATTTAATAGCTAAGCAAATTAGTGGGGAAAAATGTGCAGGACCCATGGAGAAAGACACAGACACTTGGGTATGCAAGCATGCACAAACACAGATGCCTGAATCTTACACTTATTTTAAGTGTTTGACTGTCTAGAGCAAAAGATTGTTGGAGAGGTATTCTTGAAGTATTCCATCTTCCAACACAGTGTGGCAAGAAAATTGCTACAACTGACTCAAGCCTTTGCCCCTTCATGACTTGAGGGTTGCTTGGCCAAGTTTCTGATTGGCATTTCTGGGGTGTAAGGCAGAGTTCTCCTCAAAGCAGCTGTTCTTGCTGACCTCCCTGCCCAATTAGGCTGAGCCAGCTGGGATAGGGGCTGTGTTTTTCCTTACTAGTACATTCAAACTTGCCTTCTTCTGCTACTTGCTAGCTTCAGCCTGACCTCTATCAGGTCTTAAGGCAAAACAATGAAGATACCAACAGTAAAGTGTATATCCAAGGAATGGTTTCTTCAGGCTACTGGACATTTTCAAACTGTATGTTTTTCTCAATAATTTGCCAGGGTTTGAGCCTATTTTTGGAACAAGGAAACAGGAAACATCACTGTTGAATGTCATGAACTTCGACCTCTGACAAGTTACCTTTTCCTTTGCCCTTTCTAGGAAGAAGCAATTAGATCAGGATTTTCTGTGTATTTGTGTGTGTGTGTGTGTGTGTGTGCGCACTGTAGATGCTGCTAATATTGCTGTAAAGTAGTAAACAAAAAAGTAGGAGAGAAATCAGCTCTGGTTTTAATTGTGTCTCTGGCCGATGAGCAATGAGATTTATCTTCTGCTTGCTTCCTCCTATCTGAAATACAAGACCTAAGAGTGAAGATGTTTCTTTAGCAGTCCTTACAGATATCACTGTGGTGTGTGAGAAACAGCAGGATAAAAGGAGGAGCTGAGAGAGTCTGAGGAAGGACTAGGTAGATGAAAGACAAGAAAGGTGGGGAGCACACGAGGAAAGGATTTGGACAACAGTAGTTTTTAAGTAAGAGGAGTGAGATTTTGCCAGCAAGGACCCAAATCACCTTTGGGTATTGGGAGCTGTTTGGGATGCTAGTTGCTAGCTGTACATACACTGATGCTGGAGGAGAATTGGAAGGAGAAATCATATCCACTACACGATGTTTATGCTTTTTTTTTTAATGTTTATGCCTTGCTACTGGAGCAGGAAAGGCTTACAGTTAATCTGAAACAGAGAATTGAACAAATACTAAATGAAGAATCAATTCTCTGCCGCGCTTCCGCCCCGGTTCCCTTTTCCTCCGCCCCGGCTAGCTCTCCATCTGGGGCGAGAGTGGGCAATGGAGGCACCCTCCGCTGCTCCCAGCTGGGGTTTGGAGAGTGCCTTCGCGGGTCCCGAGCAGCGATAGCAAGCCTCGCGGTGATAAAGGAAGGACGGATCCTGCTGGGGGCTAAATCCAAGTTTATTGTGGAACGGTGCCAGCCAACAGGAACCCAGACAGGGTTCTGACACCAGCTTATAAACTGCGTGGGAGGGGGGAAACCGACGCCCAATGGGGATAGGGATAGGGAGTGACTCCGGGATGGGGGGATATGATGGGGTCCAATGGGGGAAGGATATGGGGGGAACCCCAGGTCCTCGCCCAATCACCCGGTGCCCTGAGTAGAAGCTTCTGGATGGATGGGAAGGGGCACCGAGTGACAGACAAGGCACCCGGGAGGGGTAAAGGGAAAGACTGCGCCTCTTCCAGGGCGATGGATAGATACTGGAGAGGCGGGAAGGGAGGACAAGGCGGGAAAACTGGGGACAAACCAAGTTGTACATGGGGGTACAAAGGAATAAACCAATACATAATACAGGGATAATAAAACCCATAAATCACACAACTCCACAATCCTCCTCTCAAACTTTTACACCAGTTATGAAGAAGAACATTTGAATGGAATTTCCAGAATGTCATTAGCTACTCTCATAATGTTGTATAAAACCAGATGTACTGTGGACAAGGGTCTGTAGAAAAGATCTTTGTTCATTAAGAAATTAATTGTTTTCTAAATAATTAAATAGCATGGTTATTACTAATAACTAAATTATTATTAGTTATGAATTACTAATTACTTATTACCAACTACTAAATAACATAGTTATTACCATGTTAAATAACATGGTTATTTAGTAATGTTAGAGCCACCGGGATTTGTTCTATAGTAATTCTTTCATAATCTTGAATATTCTTCCTCTTCCTTAAAACAATTCCAGTTCCATCTCTTTGAAACTTTCCATATCCTCCACAGTTATCTTGCTCATCTTTGCACATGTTTAGGAACACTGAGCTAAAAAATTACCTTTGACTAGAAATGCTGTATTCTGCATCCTCTATATCCCAGGACAGGCTCAATTTTTGTTCCCTTTCCAATGCTGCTTACTTTTCAAATTCAACTGTTGAATAATTATTATCTTACAGGGTTGTCTAATAATGAGCTATAAGCACAGGGATTTGTGTGAGATCAGTGCTCAAAATGTCCTTGTCTAGTCTCCTATTTTAACTTGTTTTGTATTCCTGACTATTACCTGATTGCTGCAATCTATGACTGAGTGAATATACTTTTCTTTACGAATAGCTTGTTGATGTCCTAGGATCCTCTGGGACAAAGGCAGCTGCATACATATAAGGTGATATTAGTATTTTCCATCTTATCAGAGAAAGTTCACAGCTGGGGAGATATTAAAGCAATATTTTCAGCTCTCCACCTTCCTAGTAGTTTAAATTGAAAACCCAAATATAAAATTGAGGACTAAAAATAGCTTCCCCCACTCAATTCACGGTATTATAAAGAACCTTTTACTTTACCTACTTCTCTCAAAGTCATAATGATCTTTAAAGGCCAGTTCTAATAATCTCTATACCCCAGTGTAGATTCTGCTGACTGAAACTGCTGAGTATCACTCTTCAGGAGGTTTTCTTCAACAGGCAGATAGACCTCACTGATATGATTTTTGGGTATTTCACAGAATCACAGAATCATTAGGTTGGAAGAGACATTCAAGATCATCGAGTCCAACCCATGCCTCAGCACCTCAACTAAACCATGGCACC